CAACCATTCGGAAAGAAATGCTACATCCACATCCCAGAAAACTCTAGGCCAGTAGGAAGCAAACTAGCACCCCGAGCACACAAAGGAATCATTGTCGGATACTCAGACAGTAACAAACACTACCGCACCTGTATAGGATCACAAAGTAGGTTAGTTGTAAGTCGAGATGTCACATTCCCCCCTCCTGAATCAGGGGAAGTCACTGTGGAACTCGACTACACCCCTATCCTAAAACCAGAAGCGGCACCTACACCAACAGACGACGGATATGAATCAGAAGACAGGCCTGATCAAGAACCGAATCGTCAGCAATCGAAGAAAACCTTGAAACAGACGCAAGTGGACTGGGGGCCGGGCTTACGAGGCCCACTCCTGGACGCCCCCTCGAACAAAATAATAAACAGGAAGCTAATCAGGAAAACACAGAAACACCTCTCCCAGAACCACCAAATAAATCAAAACCTTAGAAACCAACAACCGAGAAGGAGAAAGAATCTGAAGTCCCGCATCCTGTCACAACAAGAAGATCAAATCGCATCCGTGAAAGAACGGAGAAACAAGCAGCACTTGACATCGAAGGGAAAAGAAAGGAAATCCGACAGAAAATATCGGAATTAGGAAACACCTATGACAAGGAGGTATCAGAAATACTAGCCGACAGAGATATGGACGAACAAACCAAGCAACTAGCGATGGAAGCAGCCAATCTAGACCACAAAAAGGACAAATCAAAGCTCCAAAGCCAGTACGACAACTTGGATCCCACCATCCATCGGGTACACCTAGTAACTGTACCTACCACCTTCAATCAAGCAATGAAAAGCGATGATCAACACCTATGGAAGAAGGCAATACAGACGGAAAAAGACGCCCTCAACAAAGCCCATACCTGGGATATTGTCGACAGACCAACCAACCGAGCAGTAGTCGGAGGAAAATGGGTATTCAAGGTAAAACACAACGCGGACGGAACAATCGAAAGATACAAAGCTAGGTACATCACCAAAGGCTTCACCCAAGTGCAGTATCAAGACTATGATGAGACCTTCGCCCCGGTTGCCCGATACGATTCCCTAAGACTCCTACTTGCACTAGCTGCAAACAACGGTTCTACACCAGAACAAATGGGCGTCAAGTCAGCCTTCCTATATGGTATACTTAAGGAGGAAATCTACATGGAACTACCTGAAGGCTACAGGCAGAACCACAAGGTTTGTAAACTTTGTAAATGCATATATGTACTAAAACAATCACCCCGTGAAAGGTACGCTTGCCTAGCAGACTCCCTTCAACGGAAAAGATTTGTCCCAGCCAAATTTGACTCATGTGTCTTCATAAATAAGAAGCACCAACTATAAATATCGGTCCATATTGACGACATCATGATATCCAGACCCGACACCTCACTCAGAAACGAAATCAGACCACCACAAAAGGCAGATTTCGAATGTACGGATTTCGGTAATGCGAAAGTCCCACTGGGAATAGAAATAACGGGAAAAAGAAATGGTATCACGTTGTCACAACTAGCATACGTCAACAAAATCCTAGACAAAGTTGGAATGAATAACTGCAAACCAGTTGGCACACAACTCGAACCAAATCTGAGCCCTCGGGAAGGAGAACTAGAAGACCAAATCGAGAAACCAACTGAGTATCAATCCATAATTGGATCACTCATGTACGACAGCATAGCAAACAGACCTGATATCACCCATAACGTTACCGCCCTTTCTCAGTACTCCTTATGCCCAACTGAGTACCACCTACAAGCAGCCAAACGAACACTCTGGTACCTCAATGGAACCAAAGACTGGAACCTGTTCTACCCAAAAGGAACCACTAGAACACTTGATGGTTACTCAGACAGTTCCGATGCTTCAGACCTAGATGACAGAAAATCGTTCTCAGGATACGTGTTCAGACTAGGAAAATCAGCTATCAGCTGGAGAAGCCGGAAGCAGAAATCAGTCGCAGTCCCAACAACAGACGCCGAATACATGTCTCTGTCACTTACAGCTCGACAATTGGTATGAATTCGTAATGCCTTATGCGAACTCCAACAACAATACCAATACAACATCCAGGTCGACAAAACAGAGTCTATCGAACTCTGTCGGAACCCACGTATCCATGACCGGTACAAACACATCGACGTTCACTATCACTACACACATGAACAACTCGAAGCCGGAACCTTCAAACTCCTCTATGTCCCAACCGAAGACAATGTTGCAGACATAATAACCAAAGGTCTACCGAAACCAGCTCACCAGAAATTGTCAGAAGTAATACGATGTGGCAAGTGAGGGGAAGTGTAGAAATAGGGGATTGGAACATCGGTTATGTATGGAATTACTCATGTATAAGGGATGACTCATAGAAGGAACAGGGATTCAGACAAGGCTTAGTGTCAGGGATTATTTAATCGGAGGATCGTGTGGTATAAGAATATTTGTATATATAGAGCGTTCAAACGCCCTCATTGTCCCTGGAACCCCAGCAGCGCAATAGTATCTTCTTCGCACTACAACAACACATACTCCCTCAAGGTCACGTGTTCAAACCCCACTCAAGTCATTTTCTCCCAAACTCCAAACTTCACTTGTTAATGGAGTTCAAGCTCTACTTGTCAGCGATACGCTATGAGAAGAGTATGGTCTAATCTTAAAATCTCATGGAGTTATGTTGGATAAGGTGGGGTTGGGTAGGCTATGGATTGAGAGTGTAAGGTTACCATTATGCCTGAAATGCTTACATAATCTCTGCTCAGGACTATTAGTGTAAGCGATGAAACGAAAATGTCAGGTCACACCTATATCCTCCAGCTAGATACTATGAAAAAGACTTGTCTTAATCTTGAAAACTCATAGAGTTATGGTGCATAAAGTAAGGGTACAATTATGTTGCATCCCTATCATCCCCAGCCCCATAGCAACCACCCCCACCAAATAATTTTGAGCACAACAACCACACAAGATATTATTATCAACTTCGGGAATATAATAACTAAGATGTAACTTAGCAATATAGAACCATGAAAATAGTTTTAAATTAAATAGATAATGATTTATAGCCTTTTTGACCATGAAAATGCAAGTCCGGTCCCTATTTGTGCATGTAAAAATTCATTTTAAATTTTCTATATACTTTTAAGCTAATCGTGTATCACCTCCCAAAATTACGAATTTAGCTCTTGAAAACTGGTTGTGTTGTTGCCTACCAGCTTTGGGTGCGTAAAGGTGTAGTTCAGGTGTGGTGAGGTTGCAGTTACCCTACTGCCAAGCCTGTTCCACTTTGTGATTGCTTGGCGCATTTTACATACTAAAATACCGAATTTCAAGCTTGAATAACCTTCTAACCAGGAGAGATATCAAAAATCTGGTTGGTAAATTCTTCCTCATAACTAGTACCCCAACTTTACCAACCGGATCTTTCATAATTTGTTTCGTTGGGAAGTTATTCAACCTCGACCTCGCCCCAATTTTTTGACTACCTTTATGATTGGGCGCACCATACATAATGCATGGTTGGCATAGTTACCCTCCCCGCATCATAGACTCATATACTGCCTCTGGTTAGTCAAGATTTCTATTGTCGCGCAATGAGATAATGCGGGGAATGTTACCTAAACACAGGAGAGGTGGGGGAGCTGTGGGGGAAGATGGAGAAGCGGTGGAGGTGGAGGTGGGGGTCAGCGGGTGGAAGTAATAGGATCGCAGTACTCATTAACAGGAGCTGGCGTTAATTGCAGCTGGCATTGCAGCTGGCGTTAATTGAAGCTGGCATTGGAGCTGGCATCGGAGCTGGAAAGAACTGGATCACTACCGGAGGAGGTGGTCACTGAGCAACGAGATGGCTAAGGCAAAACTAATTGAGGTGGTCAAATACTACACGCAGGTGGGAGAGATCTAAGGTGGGAGGAGACCTCGCGGTCGCGAGGTGGCCCACCCGTAGTATCAAAGTACCTGACACTCGCGAGGAGGGGGATGGGGGCTGAAGGCCCCTCATAAACCTAGATTGAGAATTATACACAGGAGGTGTAATAGGGGAGGCCGAAGGCCTTCCATAATTCTTTGAATACTTGATACCCATACCGCAAAGTACCACTCGCGGTCATGAGGTGGTCCAAGTAATTATATTGGAAAGGTTTATTGAAAGATATCACATACCGCACTATCATTGACATCCCTGCGCCCACAGCACAATAGAACAATACTTGCTCATGGGATTATTGCGGCAGCTCTGTAATGTCGGACATGGCCTTTAAGCCAATACTGTGAGGCCAGTTTGGAGTCACCAGGTCCAATTATAATGTAGGACACTGCAAAGCAATATCCCCCTTGCGGCGATACATACGTGTACCAATAAGCGTTTAATTAAGAGCTCTCTTGTTACATTCTCCTCATGATGTCAGTTCATAACACCTCAGCTTGCTCAATCCCCTTCGGTGTCGTATGATCCTTCCACTGGGTGGAAGAGGGCAATATACCGTTTCCTCAAGCTAGGAAATACCAAGTCAGGAAACCGAGCACTGGTCTTTTTTGGCCCTGACGCTACCCACAGATTGCAGCCCAGCCTGAATGACTATGGAATGATAGGAAACCGTCAACCTCGGAAGAAGTCGCTCATGATTGGTAGGGGGGAATGTTGGAACTTTGATGGCTCTTGAGGTGTCATACTAGACGGACCACGTCAGAAGATAAACTAACACTTACACAGGATACTTAAATCTGTCATTTAGACGGATCCGGGCAGGATTACTGACCGCGATCAGGCCTTCAATCCTGTACTGCCCGCCCTTAGTGAGAATAGTGCCATGTTATCACAGCCACAAGATCACATGAACATACTTTCTGGGCACCTGGAAAACTGGGTGCAATCACTACCCATTACTGCAACAACATAGACCGATTGTGTGAATTTACACTCTGATCTCAGTTATCAATACATTTTCTTTGAGAGATTTTCCTCCTTAATGACATGCCAGGTTTCCTCCTCTAGTCGGCATATTTCCAGCAGAGATACAAAAACCTGCCTCCTCTGTCTTTATTGAGATTGCCAGTGTTCCCATCGCCCATCTCCTCCTCTCTAAGATGGACTGAACTGACCACCCTCATGTCAGAGTTGTTTAAATAGTAGTGAGTATGGATATAGCGGTAAAGTGTCGAACCATCCCCCTTCGATATATCATTCGCTTCCAAGTCTTCGATGAATGAGGTGTGGACGCTGAAGCCACTTGCAGCTTTGCTACGGTCTGTGGTGTATCTTGGGACTAGGTAGACATATTCACCTAGAGATGCAATCAGTATCAGTGGTAAAGTAATGTGCAAAGTAGTCATGAACTCACCGCCAAAACCCTTATTGATATCCTGCTTATCTATTGCTTCGGAACCATCTCCATACACTACCTCAACGCTAGATATATATCGCATATTGGCGTGGTACAACTAGGCTAAGATATCCCTTATAAATATCCGAGGATTGGCGTATATCGTGTGATGTATTAAGTGTTTCAAAGAACCTTCCTATCCGGGGTAGCCAGTGGGGCGTAGAGTTACCCCAATTTCGTATACGATGGTGAAGTAAGGAAGGAAGATGGAGTGTAGGAGATGCGGAGGTGTGGAGGTGAAGAGGTAAGGTGAGGTCGTTGACGAGTTCCCGAAAGCCCATACGGGTAGCAGGAGAAGATGACTTTAATAAACCAGATGTCGCACATCATGGAAGGGTTGTGCAGCTGCTGCGGACACTAATCCCATCCCCCTTCAATCTCCCTTCTTCACCGCACGCCCTACCCCCACTCTTTCTGACACGTCCAGTTATACCTTCGATAAATAGCGCTCTAAAGAGTTGGACGCCTTTAGAACTACATTTGAGGGGACCGTTAATTGCTGCCCCCCGCCCTCCCGGCCATAATAGAAGTAGATAATATAATATGTATAGGAGATTTATTATTTGATAATCGAGATAGGAAGAATTGTCATTACAAGCCACGTAACTTGGGTGAGTAGCATTGATTCACGGCCTAATGGATAAAGAGACTATTAGTCACACCCTCCCCCAAACCTACGTCACCAGTCTCCATTCAACACCTTTTTTTTTTTTGTTTACTTCATTACTCTTTCGCGGCCTCACGGCTATGAAGAGCGCCAGCCAGAAGGTTGACGATGATGTACAGTCACATACATCAAATTCTCGCCGTTCACAACGCAACACCCAACCTCAATTCTCGTTACTCAAAGCGGGGTATTTTCTTGATGGTTGCGAAAATACGTGGCGACTTCTAATCGGTCAATTCGTCTTGCACGTCGGTTGTCGAGGAGAGAGTTTTGATTCTACACCTTTTGTCCTGCCACTCCCATTCTCGCATTGCCCCCGCTAGCCCAGTTATCCCTCGGACAAATGAGACATTGGAAAATCTCTCTCATGCATATATATCATGTGATCTCTATATTTTGGTGAGAAAACGTCCGGGTAAACAACTTGCTGCATTTGCCAGGCTTTATATTACCCTGGTATTCCATATATTTCGCAGCATGCTGCCTTAAGTTCAGTCAATCACTTCCTTTATAGAACACGCTAATGCATGAGAGAGATTTTCCAATGTCCCATTCGCCCAAGGGATAGAACACCATCGATAATAATCGTTTCGGTCAAGGCTAGGCGACCTCCTTCACCGCTCTTCCCCACGGGCTTACTCGTAGACTCGGCGGTGTTAGTATAATGCGGGGTCAGCACCACCACATAAAGATAGCCCAAGGTAAGGATAACTAAATAGCACCACTGCCTCACGGAGCTTAAAGCGAGCATATCCTCATCGAACGATCCTCAAACAGCACAAACGAGCAAATCCAAATAACAGAAACCCACCAGCAAGCCCAAAGGGAGCATATTCAGCGAACACTCCTCAAAGCACGAATTTATGTCTGACTGTGACATCTGTTTAGCGGTGGGTCTGGTTGGTTGGTCGCAGGACTCAATCAGGAGCTCGTTCAGAACTGGCGAGGATATCCAAGCAGCAATCAATGTGCTCAGGGCCCTACCCCACGAACAGCGGATACACTTTCTTGCGGCGTTCGAGCCTATTCGTGTGGTAGACTTCGATGATCAGGGCTGGATTACGCTGGATAATCGTCGTCTCTATATATTCAGATCCCTTCTATTGCCGAGAACGCCCATGTCTATGAGGATCACGACATACGAAGAGGCTCAGGAGCTGAGGTACAAACTCACGACCACGGATGAGGGCGCAACTATTGTTGTTCGATCTAATCGAAATTCCTGATGGTGGGTTCTTTCCAGGTTTTCTCCCGGTGTCCATTCTTACATTCTTCCTAGGGGTGATGGGTGACGTAAAGGTTCATTTGACATCGTTCCCTGTTTGCTTTTTTCGGATTTTCTTGTCTTGCTTTCCGCCTAGCACGTTACTTCAATCTGCGGTGTTTTCTATATAACGGTCATTTTTTAACTTTATTTGATTTTATTCTTGGCTGAGGGTGGGGTTGAGTTCTAGGGGGAGTGTGTTTGACCTTGTCTTTTGATTTTATCCTCTTCTGAAGCGCGTCGCTTCAGGCTGAAGGCTTGGTAAAGTTTGAGGCGGTGGACAAGGGTGGAGGAGGTTGGATGTGTGGCACTAGCCAGGGGTTTGCGGGAACGATGGCATATCATTTCTTCACTTCTTACTACATTTATCTTCTTTCTCTTTTACAGGTTCTCGGGTCGCACTGTGGCTTATGAAGCCGTTGGGATAATGTATTTACGAGATCTTGAATGTGCTCTAAGCCTGGCAATTGATTCCGGATCTTCTATCAACCTCCGAACCACATTTGATAATGTTTTAGGTATTTCGCGAATCCAGGAAATTGCCAAATATTCGGGAAATGCCCAGGCAATCGCCGAAAACTCCATGAGCTTTGGAAATAAATCGACTGATTCCTTTCCTACCAAAGGGGTTTTGGGAAAAGAACCCTTTGATTCATTTCAAGGGAACATTAAGGAGCGAACCTTTTGATGCCAGCATACTTGCCGCAAACATTATACTCATTTCTGATGGGGTGAACTTAGGGTTAAGGTTAGCCCCCCCCATCCCCAAAAACACGGAGACCACTATAGTATGCAGTTCTACGTGCTGTACAGTCTCCTTCACCCATTTCTCCTTTGATATATAGTGGACTTACGGTTGACTTGTTTTTGCCTCCTAGAACAAGCGTGGTGAGGCCTTTGTTTTACCTGTATGGATGCATTGAATCCTGACTGAAAGCAAGTTTCCACCTGCAATACATACAAATTGGCAAGGTTTCACTACTTTCTCATGTATAACTCTCACCTCCACATCCTACACATTCATAGCCTGAGCTTGCACCACCTCTTTGTCAACAAATCCAGATCAGTAAAAAACAATGGAGCCATATATAATTAGCTGTCAACGGTGCACTAATCCCACTAATTTGGGCTCTCCATGCTCCCTGTCGTTTCCACCTACCATGGTTAACCAATCTCTGAGATGACCATTCATGCTTTGTTTATTCTGGTGATCTGAAATACGATATATGCTGTAACCTAGTTCTGATTCCTTGGTCAATGGCGAATGATATCAAATTTGACAGAATATACTGTGAGGATTCCCCCTTTATTATACTCATTTCTGATGGGGTGAACTTAGGGTTAAGGTTAGCCCCCCATCCCCAAAAACACGGAGACCCCTATAGTATGCAGTTCTACGTGCTGTACAGTCCCCTTCACCCACTTCTCCTTTGATATATAGGGGACGTACGGTTGACTTGCTTTTGCCTCCTAGAACAAGCGTCGTGAAGCGATTGTTTTACCTGTATGGATGCATTGCGTCCTGACCGAAAGCAAGTTTGCACCTGCAATACATACAGGTTTGCAAGGTTTCACTACTTTCTCAGGTATAACTCTCACCTCCACAGCCTACACCTTCATAGCCTGGGCTTGCACCACCACCTCTCCGCCAACAAATCCAGATCAGTAAAAAACAATGGATTCATATATAATTAGCTGTCAATAGTGCACTAATCCCACTAATATGGGCTCTCCATGCTCCCTGTTGTTTTCACCTACCATGGTTAACCAATCTCTGAGATGACCAATCATGCTTTGCTTATTTGGGTGATCTGAAATACAATATATGCCGTAACCTAGTTCTGATTCCTTGGTCAGTGGCGAATGATATCAAATTTGACAGAATATACTGTGAGGATTCCCCCTTTACTATACTCATTTCTGATGGGGTGAACTTAGGGTTAAGGTTAGCCCCCCATCCCCAAAAACACGGAGACCCCTATAGTATGCAGTTCTACGTGCTGTACAGTCCCCTTCACCCACTTCTCCTTTGATATATAGGGGACGTACGGTTGACTTGCTTTTGCCTCCTAGAACAAGCGTCGTGAAGCGATTGTTTTACCTGTATGGATGCATTGCGTCCTGACCGAAAGCAAGTTTGCACCTGCAATACATACAGGTTTGCAAGGTTTCACTACTTTCTCAGGTATAACTCTCACCTCCACAGCCTACACCTTCATAGCCTGGGCTTGCACCACCACCTCTCCGCCAACAAATCCAGATCAGTAAAAAACAATGGAGTCATATATAATTAGCTGTCAACGGTGCACTAATCCCACTAATCTGGGCTCTCCATGCTCCCTGTGGTTTTCACCTACCATGGTTAACCAATCTCTGAGATGACCAATCATGCTTTGCTTATTTGGGTGATCTGAAATACAATATATGCCGTAACCTAGTTCTGATTCCTTGGTCAGTGGCGAATGATATCAAATTTTACAGAATATACTGTGAGGATTCCCCATTCATACCTCAGCTGTTGGTACCTTACCTGCTACTTTGATTACCACCTTCTGCTTGCATCTACTATTAGATTTAGATAACTTTACGAAAACCGATGTAGGAACCAAAGCAATGGCTAGATCGAGTCCCAAATAGCTGTACAACGGAGATTTAATTGACATCTACTTGGTGCCAGATTGTGTACTAAATTACCCTGTATCAATAGCAAGTAGGCACCATATTGTACACTAACTCAAGTAACAAGCCGGAAACGTAAATTTTTACAAAACTGCAACAAAACAAAGCTAAATTGAAGGGAGGGAGACATCAATGCCAGCACAATAGAAAGACCACTTTAGGAGCAGTTAAACAAAAGTCGTCAGCCACCTAGGGTTAGTTAGGGTTAGTTAGGGTTAGTTAGTTAGGGTTAGTTAGGGTTAGTTAGGGTTAGTTAGGGTTAGTTAGGGTTAGTTAGGGTTAGTTAGGGTTAGTTAGGGTTAGTTAGGGTTAGTTAGGGTTAGTTAGGGTTAGTTAGGGTTAGTTAGGGTTAGTTAGGGTTAGTTAGGGTTAGTTAGGGTTAGTTAGGGTTAGTTAGGGTTAGTTAGGGTTAGTTAGGGTTAGTTAGGGTTAGTTAGGGTTAGTTAGGGTTAGTTAGGGTTAGTTAGGGTTAGTTAGGGTTAGTTAGTTGGTTAGTTAGGTTAGTTAGGGTTAGTTA